TTTAACTTGGTTTCTTTGTTATTTTATTGCTGTAAAGTGTCCTTGTGTCCCTTGAAAGGCGCTTTTAAATAAAATGCATTATTATCGTTATTGTTATTATTCATACCGTGCATGTCTGGGCTGCATGGTGGAGCAGTGGTTAGCACTGTTGCCTCGCAGCACGAAGGCTGCAGGTTCGAAACTCGGCTGCGGCCTTTCTGCGTGGAGTTGCGTGTTCTCCCCATGCATGCGTGGGTTTCCTCCGGGTGCTCCGGTTTCCCCCACAGATCACAACATGCCCTAAAGGTTATAAACTGTAAGTCGCTTTGGATAAAAGCGTCTGCCAAATAAATAAACATAAACAATAAACATTACGGCAGCAAAACGTCTCCATGGCAATTAGAAGCCATTAAAATCCATGGATTGACTCACCGGACACGGCACGGCGTGTTTCAGAAGCGCTTTCGCCATTCTGCTAAAGATGGATTGGTTTCTATTTTTGACATCATCATAAATGTGTCGTGGTCTGCGTCTCCCCCATGTGTCTCCTGGTGTGCTCCGTCCCCCTCTAAGGATCCCCTCATGTGTCTCCTGGTCTGCAGCCCCTCCAGATGATCCCTCCCAGGTCCTGTGCTCCCGCTGGTCTCCCCTAGTCACCCCTCTGCAGTTTTTCTATAAGGTTCAGCTTTTCTCTTTAGTGTTTCTTTCCCCACCGGTTTTTGTAGTTTTCCTTCCCCCCTTAGAACATGAGTTATTTAGCTTGCCCTTCTTGTCTTTAGGTTTTGGCTCTGAGGTCGTGTTAGTTTCCTCCCTACCTGATGAGTTAACTGTTCTCACCTGGTTTCTCTCCCCACGCACCTGCAGCTTACCTTCCACTCATCATGTCCCAGTGCGTTTAACCCTGTCTGCGTCTCTGTTTGTTGTTGGGTCCTTGTTTGTGCCACCCTCGTCTCGTTCCCCTCTCTAGATGTTGTATGTTTTGGTTTTCTAACGCTCTTGGATATCTGTAGGTTTTGTTATTAGGATTTATTTGATTTTGGTTTTTGGCTCCCTGCCGTTTTGGATTTAAAGGATTTTTACGTTATTTCTACCAACCCTGTGTCATCTGGAATCTGCATCTTTGGGTCCTAACCTCCTCTTGGCACACAACGTGACAAAGTCCCGGTTTAACTCTAACCTGTGAGCGCAGCCCGTTCTCTTGAACCCCGCTCCGGTTGTTGTTATTACATAAACATAACTGAGAGCTCTGATAGCGTCGCTGTCACGTTCAAACATCTGGACTTTCCTCCAGAAGCAGAACTCACAGAACTTCATTTGCTCCTTCACAATAAGAGTCTCAAACATACCTCAAAATCCTTTCAAATAATTTGAAAAAACAAAAAAGTTTTTGTTTCTGATGTTGAAACTGTTTTCAGAATAAAATCCTGTTGACACAGTTCATGCACGCGGGGTCGTTGCTGAGGAGATGGTTCAAGCTGGACTCTCCGTCATTTGCGAGGGAACGTTTTCATTTTTACAGTTTGACTTCATCTGGGAGAGAAGAACGACGCTTTTATCAGAATTTCATTCTTTTTCTAAATGAGATTTTTCTCCTACTGTCTATTTTTTCTTGTAATATTTTGACTTTATTAGCTGACCGTCGTCTCGACTGGAAAACAACATAAAAATAATAACAAACATTTTTTAATAAAACCAAATCTAACTTTCCTACTTTTGGTTTGAGTGAGCTTGTAGCTTTTCCACGAGTGTGAGTGCTTGTGAAGAAACAGCAGGTTAGGAAGAAGCCTCCAGGTAAAGACTTCATCATGAGTTTGACACTTTACAAGGTCACGGTCAAGGTCGTGGGGTAACTAAACGGGAGCTGGCTCTCAGCCTTCCCTGCCTAAACGGCACATCCCTTCAGGACTTTGGGATTCTTTTAGAGACCTTCTGTGTTTGCTGAGGCTCTAAACTTCCTGAGCTAAGCCCTCAGCTTCCAGGTGTCAGAGAGGAATGCATCAGAACATCACACAGAGACAGACAGCGCGGCAAACAAAGACGTGTTGCAGCCTGTGACGGGTTCTCCAGCAGGAAGACAGATCACCGGGTTTCTGACAGTCAGGAGCAACCAGCAGCTCACAGGATGCGACAACAGAACACCAGGCGGGGTCGTGGAGCTTCTCTCTCGTCTTGGTGGGATCTGTAAACAATGGAGCCCTCTGAAGTTCACCCCTCAGTAGAAGCAAATGAAAAACGATCATGAAATGTGTTTGAAAGGTGAGCCCTGGTATTCACAGACTGAGAAGAGAACGAGACAAGATAATGACCTGAGTCGTTGATGGAAGAGACAAAAAAACCTCGGTGAGAAAGTTGAATTTATAACAATCTGATTGGACGGGAGACAGGAAGCAAGCTGACATCACTGTCCTCTCCTAGCCTGCAGGTAAAGCCTGTTCCCTGTGTCTTGACTGATTGGTGGTTTGATACTAAAGTCAGTGTCTGCAGGGCATCAAACGCCACCGTGACGCTCGCTGAGCTTTGAAGTCTTCTCTTTGGATCGGGCGGATCATCTCAAGTAGCGAGGCATCAGGGAACTTCCCAAAAACATCTCAGTATTTTGTCGTGAGGACATTTAGGGACGTGTGGAGGATGCAAGACGATGCATACAATTTTAGAATGACCCAAAAAGTTGGTTTCCACCAAACAAAACGCTTCGGTGTCTTCAGGTCTTCTTATCTGACTTTCCTTTGTTATAAAACTTATTAGAAAGCAAATTTACAAGCTTCATACTAAACTTTAAAGTTTACTCATTACATTCCACAATGACACAAGCTTGGAGGAGTTCTGCTGTGTGGTGCGGTTGCTAATGCTAACAGTTAGCTTCTACTAGCTGAGAAATTCTCTGCTGTTTCCTGGACTAAACCATCAACAGCCTTCCCCGTCGTGAGTCCAGGTGGGTGAGTCCATGAATGTCAGCGACGGTGTGACGTAGATCTGTCAGGATTTTCTATCCTAGAGTTTCACCGTCTGTTTTCTATCAGAAGCTACTGCAGGAGATAGGTGTAGGAGACTATTTTCACGGTCAGCCAGCATGCTCAACTCATAGTGACCGATCACAAGAAGTAAAAACTTTGTTTCTCACAAAGCAAAAGGCAGAGTCCTTATCCGGGACAAACATCATAGAGACCAGTGTTGTACGTCTACAGCGAGTCCAGTAATCCAACAGCCTGCTCGGTGGTCAGATTGAGATTATACAAGACCGTCACCTTACCAAACAAACATAATCATCCTTGTTATCACACTGAGTTGATTGCAAAGCTTTATCCAGTGGAGACGTTTGTTTGTGGTTTTTGGTTTTGGCAGAGATCATCGTCTCCGTAACCTCTTGGGATGCCACGCCCCAGCCTGTACTCCTGTAGCTTTAGCTTAGCATAAAACACAGTAAGTAAATGGATCCATGGATGTGTGTGTGTGTGTGCGCGTGCGTGCGTGAGCGTGCGTGTGTGTGTGTGTGTGTGTGTGCGCGCGTGCGTGCGTGCGTGAGCGTGCGTGCGTGTGTGTGTGTGTGTGTGTGTGTGCGCGCGTGCGTGTGTGAGCGTGCGTGCGTGTGTGTGTGTGTGTGTGTGTGTGTGTGTGTGTGTGTGTGTGTGTGTGTGTGTAGGATGGCTGCTTATACTGAGCCAGGATTCTCTGGAGGTTTCTTCCTGTTAAAAGGGAGTTTTCCTCTCCACTGTCGCTGCATGCTTGCTTAGTATGAGGATTGCTGTAAAGACTCTGACACTAGTCAGTGACTCGATGCGACCTGCTGGGTTCCTCAGGAAACATTGGCATAATGAACTGAACTTTATTTTGTGAGGAGCGTTGAGACGACTCTTGTCCTGATTTGGCGCGTTATAAATAAACGGAACTGAACGACACGTCAGGTTTTAAAAGCTTCAGTCTGACCGGCTGTTCTCACGTGTGGCCCATTGCCCTTACTCTTCTTCCTGTTCTGCTGTCTTCTCGGCAGACATGGTGCTGTTGCTGTGTTCTCTCTGCCCCTGAGAGACTTCCTCCACTTCATTAGGACTCAGATGCGTCTGAAGTCTTTCATTAGAGCTCAGTGGTGTGAAAGCGGCCAGAGGCAACAGGATGCTGCTACTGGTGGAAGCAGCGATGTGGAAGGACCTTCTGGGGAAGCTGTTTCAGGGCTTTTGTGTTCACCTGAACAGAGAACTGTGTGATGGAATCATCTGTAACAGGTAAACCATGAGCCACCTACACACTTCTTCCTTTAGTGCAGATGCTTTGCTAATTCATTTTGTGATTTGTGGTTTCGATGTTGCCATAAAATGAATGGTTTCCTGCTGAAAACAACCGTCTGCCAGATTTAGGAGGAAGAGGAAGAAAATGTGTCCAAAAAATATGCAAAGCAGTTTTCTGTTTCATGCTTCTGAAATAAAGGGGCGAGTTTACCGCAAGGGGAAGGTTGTTTTTAATGTTTGGTGCAGAATAACGGGTCATAATCTGACTAATGTTCAACCATCCTTCTTCACCAGCTGCAGCGTGACAACCTACGGTGAAATAAACAATGAAAATGCAGAAAAAATTTAACAAAACTAAATTACAACCAAAGAAATGTGCAACTAAACGTACAAAAGCAACTGCAACCATTTTTGTCCTCGTTCCCTTTAAGTCTGCTTCAGTGTCAGTGTGTGTACCTTCACTGGTCATCTGCCCAAAGCACAATACTCAATTCCACCAGCAGGTGGCATGAACACATCATATAAGTAAAATTAGGTGTGTGTGTGTGTGTGTGTGTGTGTGTGTGTGTGTGTGTGTGTGTGTGTGTGTGTGTGTGTGTGTGTGTGTGTGTGTGTGTGTGTGTTTCTTTTCTCCTCAGGGGGGCAGCGCCCCCATGGACGAGCCACCACTGTGTTATCTTCCCAGGGTCAGGGCAGTAAACGAAGCAGATACGTACCTGTATCTTCAGCAGAGCGGTCCTAGATCTGACCCGCAGGTCATTTGCAGCCGGAGACAGCGATGTAACCGATGGAAACATCTCAGTAAAACACAACGTCGTTTTTATTTTCATTTCATTTCAAAGTGACACAAAGGGCCACTGACTTTTACTTTGAGAGGATTAAAAGCGGACTGAATCCAGCAGACACGACCGCAGACAGCGTGACCCAGAAGCGGTTCTGGTTGTTGATGAAGGGCTGATGTTTATTTTACAGACAGAAAAGAACGATCGACCCATTAGATTCAGTTTTTCTTCTAATGCAGCAAACTTACGAAAGCCTGTTAGCGTGTTAGATGATTTCCTGATCTTTTTCGGCCTGAACCATAAGTCTCTGTTTCCCTCATTCCCGAGGCTCGCTGCTCGAGCCTTCGGAGGCGTGGAAGTGCACTTTTCCAGTTGAGCTCCGCCGCATTCCCCGCTGTCTCTGGCCGATGTGGCTGAGTTTGCTTTGAGCTGTCTGAGTTTCTACTGCTCCCTCCATGGTGACTCCGGCTCTATATTAATCCACAACCCATCTGTCACATCATCTGGGTCCTCGCCATCGTGTCCTGCTGGTGTCCCGGGTACCAGTGTCCAAAATTGTTCATGTACCCCCCGGTGTGCACTGGAGCACTTTTGGCAGCCATACTGATGTCCCACAGGGAGCACGGCGACGAGGAGGAGGGCGGTGGGGGGCCGAGGGGGTCCACCTCAGGTCCACAGGGCCCGTTCTTCATGATCTTCTTGTATTTGGACCGCTTGTTTTGGAACCAAATCTTTACCTGTGGAGATGAAGAGAGAGCATTCAGAGGCCAAGCTGGTGCAGGGCTCAAGCTGTCACGTGCACCACACCCCAGAAGAAGTAACACTAATGGTGTTTCTGCTGTGTGTGTGTGTGAACTAACACATTATATAGATGAGTGCACCCCCCCCCCCCACCCCCCCCCCCCACCCCCGGGCACCACCATCATCCAGAACCTCCAGTGGGAGCCCACCATCACCTCCATCCTAAAAAGCCCAGCAGAGGATGGACTTCCTGACGCAGCTGAAGAAGTTCAGCGGATGAGGCGGTCCCACATCGCAGTCATCGAGTCCATCCTCACCTCTTCCATCAGCATGTGGGAGGCGTGCAGGTCGGATCACAGCTGACTCGTCTCACCCTGGACACGGTCTCTTTGACTCGCTCCCATCTGGCAGGAGGCTCTGATCCATTCGGACCAGAACCTCTCGCCACAAGAACCGTTTCTTCCCCTCTGCAGTCGGACTTGTGGATGTCTATCCTAGAGCGGCCCCCCTCTGGTCGCTTCGCTCCAGTTGCCTGACCCTGTGTTGTGTTTGCACCTCTGATCAGAACCTACACCAGGTTCTGGAGGGCCGGTGTGGATTCTCTGCTCCAACACACTAGATTCAGCGGCTGAGTCACCTGCGCAGCAGCCTGTTAATCACCTGCTGATCATGACCAGGTGTGTTGAAGCAGAATCAAGCCAAACCCTCCAGGTTACCCCGACCTGCTTCTATTTATAATTCATTTCTCTAACGATTGTTACTCCATATTATTGTTTTTTTGTTTTTTTTCCTCTTATTTTTTTGCATCATGTACCACACAAATTTTATCCCAGCATCCCAGAATGCTGCCGTTGTGCCCTTGGGCAAGACACTTAAGCCACCTTGCCTGCTGGTGGTGGTCGGAGGGAGCGGGGGGTGCCTGTGCTCTGCAGCCCCGCCTCCGTCAGTGCTCCCCAGGGCAGCTGTGGCTACATCGTAGCTCATCACCCCCAGTGTGTGAATGGGTGTTGTAAAGCGCCTTGGGGGGTTGCAGAACCCTAGAAGGCCATATTGAATACAAACCATGATTAATTTGTCCCCTTTTCCTCCTTTTCAGCAAACTGAGTGTGAAGTGACGGGATTATGTCTTCTGGGTGAACGGATGAAGGAATTCTCAACGATCCTTCCCGGTCAGCTCAAACTTTTGTCTGGAACCGGTTTCAGCTGCTTTTCAAAAGAAACGGGATTGTTTGTTGAAAACGAAACCAAACACAGAAACGGGGAACTGTCCTGGCAGTGGAATTATTTGGTCTTCTTTCTTAAAATGCTCCGAGTTTATGGGAATTGATTTAAAACTGGTTGAAGTGGTTTAATAAAAATAAACGGAATTCTGCGACTGGCTTTGGCTCGGCTCTTCTGGAGAAGGACTTCGGCTTTGGCACCCAGCTAGCAGTGAAATTAAATCCAATTAGATCCTTTTTTATCCAGAGAGTCAGCTGATCTCACAGCCTGTCTGAAGCAGAAATAAATGGTGGAAAACACGTGAATTCATCGCTCCATAAATGTGGAAAACTGTTGGAATTTTGCTTCAAACTCTTATTGGGGAATAAAATAAAATTCACCCTCAAAATTTGATCTTCAGTTATTCATTTCCTGTCCACGCCATTCCAACCAAATCCAACACGTTTAGTGTAAAGTTCAGATTGCTGACTTTGTCCCGTTAAAGCTCTAGCGGCCATTTATTTATTTTATACGTTTAAGGAGTCGACCAGCAGCACCGTTTCAGTTTGAGGAGCTATGGTAGTTCTGATGGCTGCTTCTGGCAGAGCTTTACCGCTGATGGTGTTGTTAAAGGAGACACTTGGTGATACTTGTGTGCTACATTAGCTTCAGTCAGCCATCCCTCTCACATATTAATGCCCCGCCTGATATCAAAACATTTAGAAGATAGGTCGCTTTGGATTACTTTTAATCCCGGCGGACGGGGAGTGAAATAAAAAAACATGGGGTGGGGGGGGGGGGGGGGGTGTTACAATGACCTGTTTCTACAGAACCAACATTTCTGAGATCTCAGCCCCAGACAACATGAAGACATGTAGGAGTAACGCCGTTTACTGAAAGCACACCATGATTCCTTCAGGGTGTGTTTAGTGCCAACCACCACCCGAAGCAACGTGAGTCCATACTTGTGAGAGCTTCTTGTGTGCAACTGTGTGCTTACCAAGCCCCCACAATGCAGCTCAAAAATTGAAGGAATCCCGGAAGTACCATAAATTGCAGTTCCACCCTCATCCACTAGGGGCTGGTGTCAGAAGCGAGCAAATCCTCGTTGACTCCCATGTTAAAAATACCAATTTCACAGCAGAAATAAACATGTTTACAGCCTGGTACCAGAACATGTTTTTGGTTTAAATGATCTAGTTTACACTCATGACAACTCTGAGGGGGGTGAATGTTTTTCTCACTCTTCTGTTTAAGTGTAATAAAAGCCTAAAATTCTGTATAATTAATGAGCATCAGACCCACGTGACCACAGAGCTAGCTCCGTGGAAAGGCCTCAGCCTGAGCCTCGGTCTGGCCTGGAAACTGTTCCGGGATTTTGAGTCTGTGTGTGTGTGTATTCTTGTTTGGATATTATTTGTGCAATTGTTGGACAAAATGACTTGCTGTGGCATTAATTGCACTAATAGAGCGTCCAAGGAGTCTCCACTTCATTTTTTCGGTAAGTAAAATTATATTTATGTATTTTAGGTCACTGCCGAGCTGAGCTTAGATTTTAACATGTACTGTTTAACCATTAAATTTAAATGTGATAGGGTAAAACCCAGTGCATTTAACATAATGCTGCACTTTAGAAAATGGGTTGAAATATAACATGTTGGTGGAGCTGGGTTCCCACTATCGGCTTGTGGAGCTCTCGGGAGACCTCTGTGTTCCACCCGGTTTTACCCAGCGGTCAGCCCGGCGTGTCTCTGACTCAGAAGCTCTGGTGTTGTGCACAGTTAACTCCGGTTGTAGCTAGGTTGCTACCTCCGTTAGCTTAGCTCCCACCTCCGCGTTAGCTTCGGGTTAGCTTGTAGCTAGTTCAACCGGGTGTCGTCAGTTGATCCCAGCCTTACAGCCCCACCCTCAGCTCCACCTCTCTTCCCTTTTATGGAATTGTCTGGGCTTGACGGAACCTGTGACACGGTCAAAATGACGGTGGTGGCCACCTCCCATTTCTCCTCAAAAACGTGTTATTGGAGCCTATGGAAACCCATTGTCCAATATTTATATGTCGATGATGCATACACGTGTGTATCTGCAAGGTTTCTCCACAGGAGTGTCCAATAGTGAGTGTGAGGGGCCACAGACCAGCCCCCCCAAGACCCCTGAAAGAGTAGATATGAGCCCCAGACATCCAGAGGTCCCCCTGGAGTACGGAAGCCCAGGAAGACCACCGCAAGGTCAGGTAAGATTTTTATCTAAATCACCTTTTACACATTTAATTCCTCACTGAGCTAAAAAAAACATGTTTTTTTATTCCTCCTCTTCATCTGAAGAGGAGGGCTGTGATGTTGCAGAGTGGCCCTTCAAACTAAGAGCATTAAGACCTCAAACAGTCAGAAAGAGTCACTCTGAAAGGTACAGTATGTGTGTTTTCACCATTATATAGTTGAATATTTGCAATTAAAAGCTTGACCGAAATCACCAAATGATCACCAACCGGCTTTACGTTGAAGGTGAGACAGTAGAAGCTTCCTTGTTGTGTACATTAAACTCGTTCCCACTGTAAGGAGAGGCCAGACTCTCGTGTGCATGAGCAGGTGGCAGAGCGGAGCGGCTAAACTAAATCAAGGTGGATACTTTATAAAATTACTTTGATCAATCAACACAGACACCAATAAGAAGCTGTGCGTGCGTGCGAGTGATGGAGGAAAGTCGAACTGCTACGTGCAACTCTTCAGCGGCGTCTGGGAACATTTGTGATTCCAGGCGGACGCGGTCAGCGTTTGGCCGGCAGCCTAATGGCTGGACAGAAATGTGTGTGTGTGTGTATGTGTGTGCGTGCGTGTGTGTGTGTGTGTGTGTGTGTGTGTGTGTGTGTGTGCGTTAACAGGCTGTTTTAATCACTGCTGTGTAAGACTGCGAGTGATAACTCCTACAGCTCATGCAGGACGGACGTTCAGCGCATCGTTTTAACGAAAGCGGTTCTGCATCCATAACTGTGTAAATATCAGAAGAGACAACAAAGTCCACCAATAATAAATAAAAACGTTATTCTAAAGAGATTTTGATTTCATGCTAAAAAGTCAGATCTGCACTCCCTCCCTTCTCTAACAGAACATCCTTCTGTCTACATGCAGCTCTTCTCCAGCGAGATCGTTTCTGCGTGTGCTAAAAACGTCCAAACGAGAACATTTCTGCAGAACGGCTGCAGGGTAGCGCAGCAACAGGGAGAGCGGGGGTTCCTCCTAACTGCTGCCTCTCATGTGGCTGAACCAGGGTCCGACTTTAGAGCATGATAATAATAAAATCATGTTTTCTTCACAACAAATCTGAATGTTCTGCTGAAAAGAGTCTTGGTTCCTCGAGGTCTCCTATCCTGCAGGATTTAGTTGTTGCTCGGATTAAAATCAGATCTACAACCTGCTGGAGAGAGGGTGTGATTGGCTGCCTACACCTGCTATAAAGGTCATCCACACACAAACACAGCCTTTAGACCAACATTAATATGCATGTCTGAGATAAACGAGTCTGGTAATAGTTTCCTTTGTGGAGAGTTTCTGATCTAAAAGTCACCCAGGAAGACGTTTCTCTCGTTTATCTGATAGCACCACTTCTAGTTTCTCACTTTTCTGTTTTAATGCACAATTAATATTATTATTGTTGTTGTTGTTTTTGTGGTTGTTGTTGTTATTATTACATCACAAACATTTTCTATCTGATTTTCACAGGCCGCAATTATTTATGTCTGCAGGTGCACACACACACACACACACACACACACATACATACACACACACACATACATAAACACACACACACACACACGCACACGCACACGCACACGCACACTGCATCTCCTAAGTTTAATTTTAAGAGAAAAAAACTTAATTTTTTTCTCTTAAAATTGAACAAAACAACCAACTATTATTATTATTATTATTGTTGTTGTTGTTGTTGTTGTTGTTGTTTAAAAACGTCTTTCTTTTTACAACAACACGTGTCATTTTTATATTTGTACATAAAAAATAAAAAAGAACAAAAGGGTTTTTTTACCTTTAGGGAAAGCGAGAGTACGCTGTTGGAGGGAAAATGTAAACAATTATCTAAAAAATTTGATGCTAAAATATATTTTTGCCTCTTTGGGAAAAAGCTGAAACAAAAAATGAGATCCTGACTAAATCGAAGGTGAAGGAGTAAAAAGCGTCTGACCGTGCGCCCTGGCGATGCTGCGGCAGCGAGGAGCACGGTGGTGGACTTGGTCTGGGTCGTGCGTCGGCTCGGGTATCGGTGCCGCGAACGACCCGGTGCTTCATTAAGAAGCTGCATTTTGCGTTTCTAACGACATTAATCTCATCATCACAGATGTGGCCAAACCTTTGATGTTTTCAGCGTTTTTAGTCTGTGAAGAGTTTGCGTCTGTCGCCCACCTGCTGGTGAAAATCAGGTGTGTTAAAGCAGATCAACAGCCAACACCTGGATAGAAGCCCACTCGTGCTTCATAGCCTTTATTTTCAACTGATGCATCGAGAAGACTTGGAGGCCCATTTAGTGATATTTTAGCTTGCCATAAAGTGATACATGGTGAAACATTGCTTTGCTGAAGTGAACAACTGATTATTGGTTCCCGTCTCTCAGAAGCAGCTTTAACGAGGAGCTCGTTGGTACACACACACGGCCCCGGGAACAGCCTCAGTTCGGAGAGACACCTTAGTTCCCACGGTCGTTCCAGCCGCCCGCTTCCTACCAACAGCTTTGAAATCCAGTCCAGACGACTAATGAACGCGACTTTCTGAACCAAAATGTTCCACACAATCCCAAAATGATGATAAATCCTTGCATCTGTTCCAGGCTGCCACCACGTTCTCCTCACTAAGCTTATATGAGCTGTTGACCTGCCGTACCATTACAACACAGCAGCACCACAAAAGCCAAAAGATGCCTTAGTGTAAACGTAGCTGTCATAGTTAATCCAGTGGGGTTAGCCGAGGACATCAGCTGCTCCCACACACACACACACACACACACACACACACACACACACACACACACACACACACACACACACACACACACACACACACACAAACTGAGTCATGTTTCAGGTACTTAAATCCTTCGCTGACACACCTGAACTTTTCCTTTTCAGGCTTTTCCAGCGGGTCATGGATCAGTTTCTCCGCTCAGAACTTCAGCAGCTGCACAAAACCCTTCATCACTAAATATGATTTAATCCGGATCAGATTAAAAAAATCTTCTCTATTAGGCTCAGATAGAAAACGATGAAAAGGTTCAACAGTTTAAATAAGCCGGATTAAAGCGGCTTTAGCGAAGCTACACAACAAGCTAGGTAACGCTGACCCCTCCCCCCGGGTGTCTTCCCTGAGACGCTTCTGCTGGAACCAAAAACCGGCGATCCTGGAGGAAACGAGACAGCGCTAAACACGTCAGATGATGATTTTGGTTTTGGGACTCTGGTAGTTTGTCTTAAACCTGAAGCGGTAGCAGCCAGCTGTTTCTCCTTCTCTGGTGGTATTGAGCGGAGAACCTCACACCAGCGGTGTTCTGCTGGTGAACACGTGATCGTGTGACGAGTGAGGACCGGGGAAGCGCGGCGGTTCGGTAAGACCGACAACCGGACGGTCTGATGGTTGGTTCTGGTCTGGCACGTGTTGTTGGTGGAGGATTTTAGACAAAAGCAAGAGAACCACTTTACTATTTGTTTGTCTTTTATCTCCACAACACAATAACAGCTACACGACGCTAGAACATTGTTAGAGGCTTTAAATTATAACGAGAATTTTAAAACTAAATCTGTACAAATTGAAATGAAATCAAAGCTTAAATGTTTTTGATCGGTTTTGGGATTTAAAGGTTCAATATGGAGCACGGACACAATAGCGACATCTAGTGTTTAGAAGTGGTAGCTGCAACAACAGACCACATTTTCCAGCCGTGGGGGTGTTGGTTCACTGCTGCCGGCCAGCCCCAGGTCCAGGATGAGGACTCCTTTCTACTAATAAAGCTTGGTTTATGCTTGACGCATTCACTTCCCGCTTGGTGATGCGGCTCGCGGATGGAACGCGCTTCACAACTCGCAGCGTTTATGGTTCATGCGGCTCGTCTCTGCTGTGAGCCAATATTCTCCCAAACTGTAGGGGGCAGCATGGAGCTCTACGGCATGCATCCAACACTACACCATAGTAGAAGTAGAAATCACTGTTTACAACACGGCACTCCAGCATTTTTAACAGCGTCCTCGTCTTTTCCGACAGTGCGAGCTATTTCTCTCCAAGAATTATTAACAACATGTTGATCACGGTGATCTCTGAGAGCTGAATCATACAAACGTCTGTATTTACCAACCTCTGCCATGCTAGTTCTTGCCGGTCCGCCATGTTTTTCCGCGTCCGTCCGTCCACGTGGTTAGAAATTTTCCGAGGTGCGCGTTGCGGAAATCTTGAGCCGTGCGGAGACGCGGTGGAGGGGCGTGGTTGTTAAAATGACGCAAAATTACGCAACTTTTCTGCGCGGAGCCGCGCGAACCTCGCGGATGCGTCAAGCATAAACCAACCTTAAGTAGATCCTACAGCATCATTTACCGGTAGATCATCTTCTGGGCTCTGAATCAGCTGCTTAATGCGTCCGCCATTTTACACGGGCCCAGCTTCGCCTTTCCAAGCAGCCGTTTACCGTAGCAGTGCCCCCTACTGGCTGGTGTATGTAAACATAAACCCGGTGTCGTGCCATCAAAATAAACATTTGATTATTTGTGTTTTTAAAAACAGCTTTTATAGGAAAAACTGCACGTTCAGTCTGCACTACCCCCCCCCCCCCAAACACCCGCCGAGGCAATAAAGCTCCTTATTAAACATTTAATTACATTTGGGTCTGTCGCTCTTTAGAGTCACCGGAGTTCCAGCGGACCAGTTTCAGGATCAGAACGGCTCATCAAACGTTTAACTCTTTAACGTCTGAATCAAGAAAAATATAAAAAACTATCTGGGTCATTTTTTTTTATCATATGGAGGGATGAGGGTTATAATGTGAACGTGTGAATGGATGAATAGTGGGTCCTACAAACATCTAATCCATTACTGATATATTTTTGATCCAGCATCACCTTCATACTTTTATTTATTGGTTATTTTGAGTTATTGTCCCAGTGGGATTATGGGATTAAAGGACACGGTGACATGAATCTGAAACGTAACCCAGACACACAAAAAGGCTGAAAGCAAAATGTTTTTGTTTGACTTTTTCATTCTTTGATTTTGTGACAAAAATAAATCTCGTTTCAATATTTTAGAGAAAGACGAAAAAAACGAGATTTACGGGTCAGAAGAGCAGAATTAGGCTACGTTCAGGCCTTGATGCTCAATGATGTTGTTTAGACACGTGTGTGTGTGTGTGTGTGTGTGTGTGTGTGTGTGTGTGTGTGTGTGTGTGTGTGTGTGTGTGTGTGTGTGTGTGTGTGTGTGTGTGTTACCTGGGTCTGCGTCAGGCCCAGTTTGGCCGCCAGGTCGGCCCGCTCTGGCAGGGCCAGGTACTGGGTTTGCTGGAAGCGCTGGTTGAGGGCCTGGAGCTGCAGGCTGGAGTAGATGGTCCGAGGCTTCCGGATCTTTTTCCCTTTCCCGTTCAGCCTCACCTCACCGTTCTCTATCACCTCGGTGGGCTTCTCCAGCTCTGGAGGGTTGGATCATAAAATGACTCAAGCACATCCAAACTGGTGCTTTAAAACCTTGAAAAGCTGAAAATTTCATTTCAAATTTAACGATTCTCAGTGTAAAAGTCTAAATGATCCCTTTCATGAAGGCCTGGAATAAAACGGTCTGGATTAGATCCTAGATGATGACGACTGGAGATGAGAGCTGGAGCTGAAACGGACTCGCTGACCTGGGATCAGGCGGGGCTTTCAGCAGGCCTGACAGGATCTTTGGAGTCCTTTTATGTTTTTGTTGAATGAAGACGAGAACGTGGAGCTAAAAGGAGACGTGCACCTTCTACGGTTTCTCTTTGTTCCCCATCAGAAACTTCCTGCTGCTCTCTGCTCTGAAGGACATGACAGAAATCCTCACGGCTGCGTGTTTTTCTGTCCTGAGGGGGTTCTTGGTGACCTAACTGTAAATAATTATGACCTTACCGACTGTGCAGCTACTAAACCGATGATCGACGAGCTAAAGGCTAGTCTGGATGCAGACAAGAGCATGAGCTGCTGCCATCTTTCAGCTGTGAGCTTCACGTGTCGTCAATAAAACCTGTGGTCGGTTTCACATCACAGTTGTTTACGTCGTACTTCCTTGTTCTCCCAAAACAACAACAACAGTTCCAGCAGGCTTAAACCCTCACGGACCCATGTCCAGACCCCATTTCTGCTCTTATATCACCTCCAGCTGTTTTTTATTATAAAACTTTAAATTGTTTTTCTAGCAGAAACAGTAAAAAGTTCCCATTAGATCCGAGCCACGGGTACCGGGAATGCTGCTGCTGCTCTGACCCTAAACACGCTTTCACAGCATCAACTTTACTAAACAAAAACAAAAACAGGACATTTCTGCAAGTTTAAAGAGATTCTGAGTGATCCGACGCTTCTTTGTTGTTGTTTTCTGAACTTTTAAATACGAACGATTCCTAATCTGGGATGTAATTCTGTCTCTCCCTTTTAGCTCCAAATTATAATTTAATCTGTGTATATTCTTCATTTGTGCTCTCCTGGTTATTGTCATGCCATTTCATGCTACCTATAAAGCACGTTAAATTGCATGTTTGGGCTCTATGAATAAAGCTGCCTTGCCTTAATAAACACAGGCTGGAGGTAAATCCGTCTACCAAATGATTCTTGGGATTAAAATAATCAGATGAAGAGAAAATAATGTAATAATCCTAAATCATATTTCAAATAAATCATTATTCAAGTTATTATTACGTTTCTGTAGATTTAACCTTCTGAAGATGAATTTACACATAAAGCTGATTCTAAATCCTCTATAAATAATCAAACGCGTTAATCCGGTAAATCAGGATGACGTTTTTGTTTCTGATCAAAATAAAATATTATTAATTCTTCTATTTAACATCAGTTCTTGTTTTTGTTTCAACAAATAAAAAGTCGTTTGATGTGAAACTCAACAAGCAGCAAGAGACCTTAAACACTGAAGTTACTGGGGTTATTTTTAAAGAGACTCTTTTAATTTGTGCTTTTATGTCATTTTGTGTAATTTTAAGATTTTTTTCTTCATTTTGCTTAAATAAAAATAATTCGTGTTATAAATATTGTTCCTGTAAACTCAGGAAACGAATTATTAATAATCTGACGTTATTAGAGGCCGGGCCGCGGCTCCTGTTTGTAAAAGTTAATAATAATAATTTAAACTTTATTTTTCTCTTTTTTGCGCGGCTTTAATAATTCGATAAACGGATAAAACAGAAGAAAATAAAAACTGGTGAAACTTTGGAGAATGAAAGTTTAAAGGTGATTAAACGTTTCCTCCCTACTGAGGATGAGGATGAGGATGAAGATGAGGGTTATTTTGCTTCTCATCTGAACTCTGAGCCTTTACGAGTTTATTATTATTATTTTTATTCTGTCAGATTTAAAACACCAAATCAGATTTTTACTCCTAATAAACACAACTTCTTCTGGGTGCATCTATTAGACTCACGTGAACCGGACCTACCGGACTCCTCCAGATGTGCCAGCGCGCCGTCGTGCGCGCCGTGCTGGTACGGTAGATAGCTCCCGGGATGGTGCGCGCTCATGGGCGCGTGGTAGGCCGGGTAGGAGCGGCCGTAGGGGGACGCTCCGGCCCCGAAGGGCCCGTCGGTCTGCGGGGTCCCGACTGCGTGCAGGCCGTGGACCGGGTACGGGTTGTGAGTCAGACCCGGAGACGGCTGCTGGGCTCCGGGGTAACCGAACTCCAAAAAGGCCGATTTGGACCCGTTGGTCGGGATTAAGGTGTCCGATAATGAACTCATAGTCATCGCTCAGGGTACGGGTGATGCGGTGGGGGGGCAGTCGGCATCACGACCCGGTCCGCATCGGAACCAGAACGTCTTTAAACGGACCTGAAACGAGCCGCTGTTCCGCTCTCGCGGGTCCGTTCTAGAAGCATCAGGTCCGAAAAAGTTCTGACCCAAATCCAGCAGAACTCAGAGGGAACCAGAACCCCGGAAGCAGAATGATTTAAGGAAATAAAATCCCTTTCAGTCCCGGTCCAACGTCACCGGTTCGGTCCGCCGGTACCGAGTTCTGAGGAGACTCCAGGCAGACTGAAGCGTGTGACCATCCTACCACACACACACACACACACACACACACACACACACACACACACACACACACACACACACAGAGGCCGTGCGCTGATTGGCTGCAGCGAGTCACTGATGAACGAATCAGAATCGGACTGAAGGGCCGGATTTAAGTTTCTGCCTGCAAGTAAATAAGATGAAACTCTAATAATAATAATTTGGTTCGGAGCAAGAATTCGATTTGAAACAAAAATTACCTCAAAATGTAACTCAATTATGACGTCACGAGCTGACGTCATTTTAGTGTATTTACCTCAATCAGCCCATTTAGGTGTGATGGAATAAAAATAATAGTATCAAAACGGGTTTATTATAAATGCCACACACACACACACACACACACACACACACACACACACATGCACGAACACACGCACACACACACACGAACACACGCACACAAACACACACACACACGCACGAACACACGCACACACACACGCGAACACACACACGCACGAACACATGCACACACACGCACAAACACAAGCACACACACACAAACACACACGCACGAACACACGCACACACACACACACACGAACACACGCACACAAACACACACACACACACACACACGATTACACGCACACAAACACACAGACACACACACACACACACACACACATGCACGAACACACACACACACACACACACACACACACACGCACAAACACACGCACACACACACACACGCACACACACACACACACGGACACACACACACACGGACACACACACACACACGAACACATACACACAAACACACAGACACACACACACACACACACTGTATGTGTTTCCGGGTGGATCCTGCTCCAGGTTGGTCGATGACCCCCCTCCCTCTCCCCAGCCCTTCGATGATGACATCGCCCATTCGGCTACGGGTTTCAGACGATCTGATGACTTGAAATGGCACAAAACAGAAACAATAAAAATCTCAAAAGTTTCTAGAAATAAAAAAAAAATCTCTCTTTTTTCGTGAAAATAGAAAAAAAATCTCGTTCATTTATTAAAGCAAAAACAAACTTGCTCTTTATTACTGGCAGTTAAAACACAGCTGATCACATTTAGGATTTTTTTTTTCTAAATAAGTGACTGAGACCTGTCCAGCGTGTCTCCCCGCCTCTCTCATGACTCCTGGGGATAGACACCAGCTCCCCATGACCCTATAGGAGCAGAGAGAGAGAGAGAGGTTTAACAAAAATCTTGACTTTTATCAAAAATCTTAAATAATTGATAACTCAGGTCATCATTTCTACATTTAAACATGTAAAACGAATGAAAATGAAACTTCTCCAGATCACAGTTCCCAGCATCAGGAACGTGTTGTCCGTGGATCATTAAGCTGCACAGACACAAATATGCACATCTATTTTTACAATGTGATTTTTTTATTACTAAATAAGTTCAGTAATAAAGTTTATTATTATTATTAGTTTATTATTAGTTAGTTTATTATCACCTGTCACGATGGTCGACTGGGTACGGGAGTTGAACTCGGTAAGGATGTTTGACGTCTGGATTATTCGGTAGAGAACTCTGATCAGGGGTTTCAATGAAACGATGACTGAGTGAAGAGCCGGTGCGGCGTCTTCCATATATAGGCTTGGGTGTGACTGGGAGAATGCCGGGAGTTCCCGCGAGGAGCTTGCTGGGAAATGTGGTCCAAGATGGAGGCCGGTTAGCTGGGAGAGGCCGGTTTGGGGGCTTGGGTTCTGACAGGACCCCCCGGTCCAGGGACGGCTCCAGAAGTCCCAGGGCGACCTCGGCGGTCCCAGAAGTCAGAGACAAGGGCAGGGTCCAAGATGGAGCGGGCCGGCTCCCAGGAGCGTTCCTCAGGGCCGTAGTCCGCCCAATCGACCAGATACTGCCAGCCCCGTCCCCTGCGGCGAGCGTCCAGGATGCGCCGGACGGTGTAGATGGGCTCACCGTCGAGGAAGCGGGCAGGCGGAGGCGCCGGAGCCGGAGGCAGAAGGAGGGAGGATTCCACGTAGGGCTTGAGCCGGGAGATATGGAAGGTGGGATGGATGCGGAGACTCGCAGGCAGCCGCAGCCGGTACGTGACCGGGTTGATGACCCTTTGCACGGGGTAAGGCCCAAGGAACCGGGGAGCGAGCTTCCTGGACTCGGCACGGACACGGAGGTCTGCCGTGGACACCCAGACCTTATCCCCTGGAGCATATGAGGGACCAGGACGGTGTCGGCGGAGGTGTTGGTGAGAGTAACGGGCGTTAGCTCGGGTTATGGAGGCCCGCGCCTTTATCCAGGCGTTCCTGCAGCGCCTCACCAGGGATTGAGCGGCCGGCACCGCAACTTCGGGTTCCTGGTGGGCAAAGACCGGGGGCTGGTAGCCATAGCAGACTTCGAACGGGGACATCAGAGTGGCTGAGGAGGTGTGGAGATTGTGGGATAACTCAGCCCAGAGGAGTTACTTAGGCCACTGTGAGGGTTGGGCCGAGACAAAGCAGCGGAGGTACCGACCCAGTTGTTGGTTTGCCCGCTCCGTTTGGCCGTTGGTCTGCGGGTGATAGCCCGAAGATAGGCTGACTGATGCTCCCAACAGATGACAAAAAGCCCTCCAGAACCGGGCCGTGAACTGGGGACCACGATCCGAGACCACGTCGACAGGAAACCCATGGAGACGCACCACATTCTCCAGGAACAACTCAGCTGTGCATCGGGCCGAGGGGAGGCCCGGAAGGGCGATGAAGTGAACAGCCTTAGAAAACCGGTCAGTGACCGTCATGATGGTATTAAGGTCGTTGACTGGTGGGAGCCCTGTGACGAAGTCCAACCCCACATGGGACCAGGGGCGGCTGGGTACCGGAAGAGGTCTGAGGGTACCAACCGAGGCCTGGTTGGATGTCTTGGAGCGGGCGCAGACGTCACAGGCACTCGTATAGTCCTTTACATCTCTCTCCATACGTGGCCACCAGAGAGCTCGTTTGAGGAACCTAAGAGTCCGTGAGAAGCCCGCGTGGCCAGACAGGCGTGATGAGTGGGCCCAGGACAATGCCTCGCTGCGACAGGCCGTGGGGACGTAGAGCCGACCCGCGGGGGTCTGTGGAGGTGCTGGATCATCTCGGAGGGCGTTTTGGATAGCCTCCTCCAGTGGCCACCTCAGGTGGGCCAAGAAACGGTGCTCGGGGAGGATAGGTGCCGGCTCGGACGTGGGCGTTGGATGTGTGAACTGGCGGGAAAGGGCGTCCGCCTTCTGGTTCTTTGTCCCTGGGCGGTAGGCGAGATGGAATTCATAGGGCTCAAAGAAGAGGGCCCAGCGGGCCTGGCGAGGATTGAGCTGCTTGGCTGATCTGATGTGGGTCAGGTTCTGGTGGTCCGTCCAGATGGTGAACGGCTGAGTGGTGCCCAGTAGCCACTGCCTCCATTCCTCCAATGCCCACTTTATGGCCAGCAGCTCGCGATCCCCTACGCCGTACTTCTGCTGGGTGGTGGAAAACTTCCTGGAGAAGTAGGCGCAGGGATGAAGCCTGTCGTCGGGCCCGGCTTGGGACAAGATGGCACCGGCGCCAACATCCGAGGCGTCGACCTCGACCACAAAGGGGACTGCATGATCCGGATGGCGGAGGATAGGAGCCGACGTGAAACGGGCGACTAGGTGTTGGAAGGCCCGAACGGCGTCAGGAGTCAGCCGGAACGGTTGGCTCGGAGGGCTTGGTCGGGTGAGAGACGTGAGAGGTGCCACAATGGTGCTAAAGTCCTTAATAAAACGGCGGTAAAAGTTGCAGAAACCCAGAAAACTCTGCAGTTGTTTCAGGCTCGTCGGGAGGGGCCAGTCTCTCACCGCCTGGACTTTCTGAGGGTCCATGGTTAGTCCTTTATCTGAAATCATGTAGCCCAGGAATGATACGGACCGCTGGTGGAAGGAGCACTTCTCGGGCTTACAGAACAGGTTATTGTCCAGGAGCCGGGTTAGAACAGCGCGAACATGGTGGAGGTGTTCGGCCTCGGACTTGGAGTAGATCAGGATGTCATCCAGGTAGGCAAACACCCACCGTCCCAACATGTCGCGGAGGACATCGTTTATGAGGCGTTGAAAAACGGCGGGGCTATTGCACAGCCCGAAGGGCATTACCTGGTACTCCCAGTGACCGGTGGGTGTGATGAAAGCGGTCTTCCACTCATCTCCAGCTTTGATACGGATCAGGTTGTAGGCGCTCCGGAGGTCCAGCTTGGTGAAGATCCGCGCCTGGGAGATGGCGTCCAGGGCAGATGTGAGGAGCGGCAGAGGATGACGGTCTTTGACTGTGATTTTGTTCAGACCTCGGTAATCGATACAGGGGCGGAGATCACCCTCCTTTTTCCTGACAAAGAAGAAGCCTGCGGCACCCGGGGAGGAGGAAGGTCGAATGAAACCCTGCTGGAGGGCCTGGTCAATATATTCCTCCATGGCTCTGGACTCGGCGGGAGAGAGAGAAAAAAGGCGCCCTTGGGGTGGACTGGTTCCTGGTTGCAGCTTGATTTCCATGTCGTACGGGCGGTGAGGCGGCAGTGTGGTGGCGCGCCGCTTGTCGAACACCGCAGCCAGGTCCCGGTAGGGCAGTGGCAGATTGGGTGGTGTTTGGCCAGTGTCACCGTCCGGGCGGTCTGGCATGGATGTAGGAGGAGAGAGGTGGGCCTGGCACTGGGTCCCCCATTCCAAAATGCGGCCCTGGGACCAGGAAATCCGGGGGTCGTGGAGACGGAGCCAGGGAAATCCCAGGATTAGAGGAGAGGAGGGAGCACATATGATCAGGAACTGGAGGGTCTCTCGGTGGCCTTGGACAATCATCTGGAGTGGCTGGGTTCGGTTTTGGATCGGATAGGGTTGGAGGGGCCTACCGTCCACCGAGGTCACAGGCACAACTCTCTCCAAGGGGGTCATGGGGATCCGTAGGCGCTTAGCCAGATCCATGTCCATAAAATTGTCAGCGGCCCCCGAGTCCAACAGCGCGTGCATCTGAAGTG